TGAATAAAAATATTACAGTTTTTAATGTTCTGACTTTTGATTATATAGCGACAGACATTTTTTATAAGTTTTTGAAATCAAAGTTATATAAAAATTTATTTAATTTGTTTTCCTATTCAAAATGAATATTTTAATATTTATATATAGTTATGTTTATATTTACTATTCTTATACATGTAAATAAATATATTTAACTACTGTTTTTAAGTCACAAATTTTTATATATGTATGTATATTTTGTTGTATACATACATATATTAAGCCAGCTTGCCACTCTCTTCAGTTGCAAATCAAAGAAAATACACATAGTTTATGATCATTAGCATCTGTTAAATTACACTTTATTTCACTGAGAGTTTCCAAATCCAGTTAACTACAGCAGATGGTACACCCATATAAAGGTGCTAAACTATAATCAGCCGTGATCACTGCATTAGTTCACTCAGTGTGCGCATCCCTGGTTTGCTGTTACCTGGCATTGCACTTGTCGGGCCCAGCATCGACCTGTGCCTTTGGACAGCCGCCCCTCTTGGGAGGCACACACAATTCTATTTAGTCGTTAGTCGTTTGATTGCGCCCCATGTAACATGGACGCTTAATGTTAAACGTTGCCAATGCCCGCGTGACTTTGTCGCACTCATCAAGCGCACATCACTCGAAAGGCAGGGAATGATGATGCCGCTGCTGTTGCTGTTGCTGCTGCTGCCGTTGCTGCAGCTCGTTAGTTCAGTGCTCGACGCCCACCAAAAACTGCGTTGCGTAGGATGTCCTGTCCATGTTAAATTTATGCAAATCGCTGATGCCTGCAATGCCGCCCACCACTACTCCGACCACTTTAACAGCAGCCGCAGTAGCAGAGGCAGTCGCAGTGGCAGAGGCAGCCGCAGTGGCAGCAGCATTTGTCAGACAACTGCGGCACATGCTTTCCATTTGCAGCTTGCTTATCGGTAATTCACTTTGGAGTCAGGTCCAGCCATTGAGCAGTCCCTTCGAGTGCTCGAGCTCTTTCCATAATCAAGCGGATTGCTTAACATGCAAAAACTGAGCTAGTTTTACGCCTCACTTGACATTATTTGCTTAGTTGCTGCCGCCTAGCCCCAGCTCCTGGTAAAGCGAATCAGTTGTATAATCAAATTTGGCTTGCAATTAAAATCGATTTGATGCTATTAATACGAATGTCTGCAAAGCTTCAACTGAAAAATAGAGAACGATATTTGATTAGGGTAAAACATCTGAATTTGAATTATGGGAATTTTACGTCATCTATAAGCAATTATATAAATTAAGTTTTGAGCTAAGTAGAGATATTATTTATTTACATTTTAAGTTCGTTTTGCTGAAAATTCTTCATAATGTTAAGCATTATTATATTATATGAAATAGAAACTTATGTTATTTACTATAAATTTTAATTATT